CCCCAAAACCCCAAAACCCCAAAACCCCAAAACCCCTTGGGAATAAATTAATAACAATATTTTATGTAAGTTCCATTATGCTGCCAATCTCGCTCCAAATGCTATTTTTACAGCTTATTTCTTATAAATTCTTTTCTAAGGCTTTATAGATTATTGATGAGCTTCAACACGTATAAAGAAGACCATCCTACATTCTCTTCGAGCAACTCATTCACAAAACCAAGCTACACAAATAGTGTTGATCAATTTAATGAAATCAAGAGTTTGATAAAGAAAATACATAGAAAAGGTACCAATAAGGCCTTATTTTTAGAAGCAAACAAAGAAGGCGATATATACTTCAGTCAAACTGCTAATTCCTTTATTTCTCTTGAGCCACCCTCAGTTTTAGGAATTAGCCAGAATAACCGAAATCGCCATACAGTTCTGGAGAAAGAAGATGCTGATGTACCTGAGTTTTATTTCTCTCTAACCAAAACTCCTTCACCAAAGAAGAGACTTATGACAGAGAAAAGGAGAATTCGTAAAAATGAAAAATACACAAAATTGCCATATACACGAAGAGAGAAGTTCAAGCCAAATCCACGATACAAAATTAACCTACCTGATTTGAATAAATAAGGCTATGACAAGTAGGAAACAGAACGGCCAGATGATAGTGCCACAGAAATTAGAGAGAACCCAAGTTGTCTACGAAACTCCTAAATAAATTCAGAAGTCACTTGATAGATAATCATTGTACCGACCTGGCTGACTATAAGGAGGAAGTGCCCATTCCTATGAACAATATTAACAATACCATTAAGTCTAAGAACATTCAGGAGAAGGATATTGAGATGATAAAGATTGATCCAAAATCAGCAGATACTTCGCTAGCCTACAGCTCAAGCCAGGCGAGTGATATAGAATTTATACCACCGCCTGAAGTTAAAAATGATAAATATGAAGATGCTTTTAGAGGGAAGCAAATGGGTCCACATAGTAAATCATTTGTGTCTTTCAATTCTCCTGAAGTAAAGGCTGCAATGAGTCGTAAAAATCAAGTAAAACTCTTATATTAACTCTGTTTAGCTTGTAAACCCTGATAAAGTTAAATATACTAATACCAAATCTAAGAGGTTTGATTACAAACTTGACCATCAAGAGGTCAGCAACGAAGTAGGGCCAAGGACAACTAATAAAAAGCTACTAAAAAAGCCTAAGAGTCGTATAATGTTGCCTAAAAGGGTAGAAACTTATGAAGACGTTATTAAGCGGTTGTATGACTCAAAATCTCCAAGTAACGGTTAATGCAGATTCTCAACTCATGCATAAAGATTTTTCAACCTGTAATGCTTCTCTTGGGGTTTTGGGGTTTTGGGGTTTTGGGGTTTTGGGGTTTTGGGG